AAACACACTCTGCTAAAAGTCATTCCCTTACAAATAACATATAAATTATAATGGACCAGTGATGAGCACTCATGCTTCATATTGAGGAGTTCCTGGGCTCAATTCTCAGCCCAGAGACCAGCTATCCTGACTGAGGTGTTTTGTGGTTTTCTTCAGTCCCTCCAGGGAATTGCCAGGCTAGAGGCATAGTCCTGCCAACATTCTGCTCATTATTCACTGCACTGAAATGATATGCCAAGCTGTAGAGTGGAATGAAGGATGCATTCACTTAGATTACAAAAAACAGCTAACTTACTGATTGCTATGTAGCTTCTGTTTGTTGTACTGATTAACTAAAATTTCTGTATTCTGAACAGTTTATTACATCAGTGTGATGTGACATCCTTCAAATAGGCAAGTCTAGCAATGCCAACTACATTCATTAATCAAATGATCTGTGTAATGGAGACATGCTGCATATTCTCCGAGGTACAAACAGAATTTTTAAATAGTAAAGTGAAGCATGCAACTTTCAGTAAGTTTACAGTGTGGAAAAATATTTATCACCAACTTCTGTTACTAACCCTTACTTTATGACTCTAGACAAGCCACATAGTGGAAAGGTCTTAGGAAGAAGATAATCTACATCTTTATCACTTCCAAAGCCTGCTTAATTAACAGGATTTCCAAAACTCTGAAAACATACTTATACATTTCCTAAAGCAACTTCACACAGGAGAAGCAACCCAACTGAATTGTTTGGAGAAGTGCAGCAGTAGTTGGCAGACTTGGACACCATGTCTGCAAAGTAGATCCCCTTACCAAACATATAACCTGTAACTGGTGGAGCAATTCGCAAACCCTGAAACAAATGTACAATGTGATGTTACAAAATTTACGGAGCCAAAGATTTCTGCTCGATATAACAAAGTTCTTGTTATAGACTGTACTCATTCTTCCATGGTTACACTGTGGTCTGTTGCTGCAAGTGAATGTTAAGATACCTCAAACGTTAAGACTTCTTCAAATATTATTCACACGGTTATAAAATTTGAACACTCATACCTGAGACAAAATGCCTGCAAAGTTAGTTAGATGAGATCAATGCCACAGCAGCTTCCGGTTGTGTAACTTTTTGAAAGGTTTGTACCTTTTTTCTTCTCCACTGCGCTTAAGCTTGAATACCTGGAAAAAGAAATCTGTCTATACAATGAAATACCAATAATCCAGCAAAATACAGCACTTCACAGAATGCTTGTTTTTATTTCTCATTTCACAAGAAATAAACATCATTATGGTACAAATGTACCACAAGTCTAATGTTCAATTAAGGCAAGAAAATTTACGTGTTAAGGTCGTGTGAAAATTGTGAAAAGTAGGCATTGTGACTGTTGAAGTATTCAGTTCTCATGACCATAGATGGAATACAACTATTTTCATAAAATAAGACAGACTAGTCATTCAACATACCTCCAAAATCTCCAGGTCATAATGAGTGT